CCAACCTTCCTTCCGAGGAGTGGCTGGTGGGTTTGAACCGCCAGCCTTCTGGTTAGCAGTCAAGTGCCTTAGGCACTATGCTACCAGACCTTTAGCATAGCACCTAACTCTTCATTATACAGTTGTAAGTATGTTAACCTCAAGAAATAGAGATATATTATCTTAGTCATGTCTTTTATCTGTGGCTTCTTGTACAGTACTCAACACTTCAATGTTAATGAATATCTGAATATCAAAAATGTCTTAAGCACCCAATTTGAGCCAATATAAAATCCTGGAAATTAATATGTCATGATTCTTTCATTTGAACATTTATTAAGTGTCTACTACTGCTGCCAATTATAGGAAACCCCAAAATGAACCAGACATATTCCTTGTGTTTCAGGAAACTCATAATCTGGTGTGGGAGGAGTACCACAGAGAAGTCAAACAAGGTGAAATGTTCAATGATATAGATAAGGACCTTGATATGGGAACATAGAAAATTAAGGGACTGAGCCATAAGAATGGAACTTGTGGAAAGTGCAAGTTTCCCAAAGGAGGCTAAGTTAGGCAGGGATGAGCATTAAAGGTCTGCGTAAAAGTAGGAGGAAGATAGTACATGAATTAGTACAGGTATAAAACCCCAAACCCACTGCCATAGAGTTGATTCTTACTAATAGCAACTCTATAGGACAGAGTAGAACTGCCCCATAGGGTGTCTGAGGCTGTAAATCTTTATGGCAGCAGACTGCCTCATTTTCTCCCATGGAGTGACTGGTGGATTCGAAGCACTGACCTTTAGGTTAGCAGCTGAATGCTTTAACCACTGCACTACCAGAGCTCCTTAGTACAGGTATAGTATGTGCAAAGGAGCCCTAGTGGTGCATTGGTTAAGTGATTGGCTGCTAACTGAACCAACCAGTAGCTCTGAGGAAGAAAAACCTGGCCATCTGCTCCAGTAAAGGTGACAGCCTAGGAAACCCTATGGGATGGTTCTGCTCTGTCCTATAGTAGAGAGCAGCTATAACTAGGAGAGAGAATTGACTCATCTACACACAACAACATGTTGTTGTTGTTGTTATGTGCCGTCGAGTCAGACCTGACTCATAGCGACCCCTCCTTGGGTTTCCGAGGCAGTATCACTATGGAAGTAGGATTGCCCAACCTTCCTTCCGAGGAGTGGCTGGTGGGTTTGAACCGCCAGCCTTCTGGTTAGCAATCAAGTGCCTTAGGCACTATGCTACCAGAGATCCTACACACAACAACATGGTATGTGCAAAAAGCTCAAAGCAGCTCAGTTTTGCTGAAGCATTGAGAGAAGGAGAGAGAAGAAATGAAGCTAGGGATGTAAACAGGGGTTTGCTTGGTATGATATCCTTTGTGCTGACAACTGGGAGCCAGTATGGGATACAAATTATTGCTCTCGTAGTTGTTGGGGAGGCCAGTGGGGCGAGTGAATCTGCAATGATGCAAAATGTAACTGAGTGATGGAAATGAAGGGTTTGGACATTCTTCCACATGTCTAGAGTAGATCATGCACCCTCAATGTTCTTTCTTCGACTGCAAAATTTATTAGTTTAATTATCTATTCAATTAACTTAAAACAATTATACTTTTTTTGTCATATCTTGTTTGCCTTTTATTTTGGCAGTTCAGGTTTTTATGCAACTTGACAGTTTTCGTTCTGAGCATGGAGGAATATTTGCCAACAAAAGTGACACAAATGGTATTTCTTTCAAAACCATGATATTTTGCTCCTGTGACATATGTTTCTTTTAAGCAGAATAACATCCAAACCTTTCAGCTGCCAGTGAGATCCTGAAACTAAATATCCCAAGTGTTTCAGAGCCTGTAGGAATCTTGTAATACTGTAGTCAGTGGAAAGGCAGAGGAAAGAGGAGGGAATCCCTCTTCTTCAACAAGAAATTGAGCCCAAAGGGACACTTGCATTTAGATTATAATATATATATATATATATATATATCTTAGGACCTGAAATGTTTGTTCTGAGATGATGATAAACTACTTGCCCTGAGTCAGTTCCAACTCATGGTGACCCAATGTATGTCAGAGCCAAGTTGTGCTCCAAAGGGTTTTCAGTGGCTGTAGGTTTTTAATTTTTGGACTATCCCTCTTCCTGAAATGCTTTCATGATTTCTACATAACCTAATTTAATAACACTTGTTGTTGTTAGCTGCCATGAGTTGCCCCCTGACTCATGGCGACTCCATGCACAATGGGATCAGACCATTGTGATCCATCAGATCTACCTCAAATATCAATGAAAAGTCTTCCTCCAAAGTCAGTATTTGTAATACCAGCCACTTCTTCCTCTATTTCTGCTAACTTTACTACTATTCTTATGGTGTTGAAACATCAGTGTCCTCTTTGATGCTTCTTTACTCCAAATCCCCTGAATTGTCCCTCCATCTCCTCCGTTTTCCACTCCTTACTGTTCTGGTTAGGATCTGACACCTGGATTACTGTGGCAATTTCTTAACTGATTCTCCCATACTTTTCTCATCACCTGCTCCTTGCTTCAAGTTTCCTAAGAGTTCTTTTGATCTATAATGACCCAAGTAACTTGGAGCAATTGAAATTTTTTTGCAGAGTAAAAAAAAATAGCTTTTGTAATATTTGTAGAGTGTTTTATCACTGACAGAAAGGTTTTCATATACATCATCTCTTTACCTTAACCATAATCTCCATTTCATAGACAAAGAAACTGAGGCTCAGAGGTAACTTGTTTAATTCATGAGCTCTCCCTGTTGGCCTAGAATGTCTTCCCATGCGAATCTAACTCTCCATCCTTGAATCTCATTGGCCTTTTCAAAGTCTGTTATCTTTTAAATTGACATTTAAGTGTATCTGCATAATCTTCATCTCATCTGAGG